TGTCTGTGGGGCAGAAGTTGAGCCAGAGCTGAGCCTGGGGTTGGCGGAGTCCTTGAGACAAGAGCAAAGCCAGCCCTGCAGACATGGAGCGCCAGAGGGAGAGTGTAAGTACAGCGACTGCTCGGCTGCCTATCGGCAGGTGTCCAGCTTTTCACTACAGCACAGACAGCTTTGAGAATATTTCGCCGTCAGTGTTCTCAGCAAAACACTGAGACCGTGCACCCTCAGGCCTGTCATGCTTTTCCTTTTTTTACTTTATGTAAATAAAGATGTCGAAGTTGGGACCTTGTTGCTGCCTCCCCATCAGAGGGGTCACATCCCACCTGGCCCCAGCTTTTCTTTTCTGTGTCTTAATCTCCCACTGCTCCCCTCTCAGGCCCCTGCTGCCCATGCAGGTCATGGCATTCACCAATAAAAATTGAAAAAGAAAGTTGTTTTGGTTTCAGGTTGGAGCAAGAGACTGGGGCCCCTAGTGGGATTCAGACTCAGAGAGACACTGATTTAAAACCAACATCAAGGCCAGGGATCAAACTCAATGGTATGGTGCACATGCGGCTGGCAAGCACAAAGGCCTGAGTTAGATTTCCGGTACCGAACAAATAAATAAGACCAACATCAGAACCTGTGTGTACTTGGGGAGGCTGTTCCCAAGAGATTGTGTGTGGCAACTGTAAGAAACAGTCAGAGGCATTCCCCCCTCGCTGAGCAGCAAGCCTGCTGGGTCCCACAAGGAGACTTGCCCACCAGGTCCCAGGACACTGCTGGAGGAGAGGGAAGCCATAGGGACATCTTCCCTGAAAGTCTCTGATATGAGCCGTTATAGACTCTCAGAAGCCAGGAGGTTCCACTGACTCGCCTGAGGACGGGAGGTGGGGCCGGACCACTCTGACAAGGCTTTTCCGGTTCTATAAGTATATGGTTCATAGACCAGCATCTTCCTGGCCCTATACCGTTCCTGTGCTCCAGGAGTTGGCTGTTAATGACCTGATGTCAACGGCCAACCTTGTGTAGCCCCTGGCCTGGGCAGATGTAGAAGATAACCATCCCCAGTATTACCTCAAGATCCATCTGGGGAAAAACTGCAATACAGTTAAGGGCCTGGTTCTGCAGACAAACCGAACTTGGATTCATCTCTTAGTTCTTCCAACACAAGGCCTTCTATAAGTCTCAGTTCCCTTATCTATACACTGGAGTACTATCTATATAAGGTAAGAAAAATGCTAGGCCTACAGCTGGCACTCCAGATGAGTGCCAACAGCTTACAGCTCTTGTTATTATATATTAGCTGGCGATCTCTTGTGCCTGCTTCATACCCAGGTTCAACCTCTTGTGTGAATTTTCCCTCAAGTGTCATGTCAAGTGGCCTCCTTCAGTTACCAAGATTTTCCTTTGTGAACTTCTGCAGCCTTTGTTCCAGCACTTAGGCATGCAGTTTTCTACACTGTTACACAAATGTCTCACCCATATTTCTCTTACTGCGCTCCTTCCACAAGTGGCTTGTCAATATCTTGAAGGCCTGGCTTATACTTTATGATCACTCCAAGTCCCCACTTTCCCCTCCCTTGTGTCCAGGTTCAATGGTTGCTTACGCTGCAAGTAAGCAAATATTTGTTGCATAAATCAATGCAAGAGATGACACAGTGTTCCAGTTGTAGACTCATTTGGTCTTTGTGATGTAGAGAAAAATAAGCGAGAGATGATGAGATTTGGAGCTTTATCTCCTACTGTGCAGGTGAATTGCTGCACAGCATTTGTCTAGGTGCCTACCAAATGCAGAAATTGCCACCTGCCTCTTTCCTGGAACTTGGTGAAGACAGATGAAGCTTTTAAAAAGTGATTGTGGGCTGGGGAGATAGCTCAGTAGAACAAGCACCTGCCTGGCAAGCACAGGGTCCTGAGTTCAATCTCCGGTATCACAAAAAAAAAAAAAAAAAAAAAGCCACGGTGAGACACAGTCAGCTCCCTAATCTTGAAGGGGAACAACGCCTGGGTTCTGAAGGTGACAAATGCATCTTGTTCTCTTGTAGCGTTTCCCTGCTCCCATTCCATAAAACAAGGAAAACAAAGTAGGCCTTGGTCCCTTTAAGCTTCGTTTTCAGACACACAGATGCCAGAACTCCTCTAACTCCTTCCAACACTAGGCCATTTCTCAAAAGATGAAGCTAAATTCCTTTTGTCACTTTAGTTCACTGTCCTTAGTCTACTGCAAGATGAGACCAACCACCATTTTACAATCACCATCTTTCTTCTTAAAGATTTTTACTCCATTCTGCTTCTCAGTAGTCAATTTAGGCTAGAAGGGACCCTTCCTGCCTTCCTGCCCCATCTTCACATGAGCTCACCCTCCCTGCCTTTGCTTCCCTTCCCTTCCCCTTTTCCTTCCCTCCTTCTTTCCTTTTCATTTTCTTTCCTCTTCTTTCTCAATCTTCTAAACCTTAGTTGTCCTAGCAGTGGTCACATGAGCTACTTTGCCCAGCTGTACAGCCGTCACTCAGTGTAAAGTCACCATGACCACCGGCACAAGCCGTAGACACCATGGTTAGAATCCCAAAGCCCCATCGGGGTTTGTACCACCTCACAACAGAAGTTGGGTCAAGACTGGCCTAGTTGTTTTGTGCTTCAAGGACAATCACTTCAATTCTCTACCTATGGTAAGGATCTATCACTTTAAAAGTGGTAGTAACAGTGTGGTTAATATTAATACTAACTTATGATCTTAGAAATGTTTTGAACTGGCCGGGGAGATGGCTCAGTAGAATAAGTGCTTCCCTGGCAAGCACAAGGGCCTGAGTTCAATCCCCAGTTCAGGAAAAAAAAAAAAAAAAAATCTGACTAGAAATGTTTTGAACTCTCAAGTTCCTGGTTTAACATAAAGAAGGGAAATTTTAGAAGGTATAAAATATGTCCCTCAGGATAACAAGGTAGAGAAACCAAATGGGAAAATGGCGTGAGGCAGTAGCTTTCAGATACGCTTAGTGGCAGATCCTCATGTTCACAGGAAAGCTTCAGTAAATTCCCGGCCTAAACCAGAGGAGAACACGGGTACTGTGGGTAAAAGGCAGGGCAAGGTGCTGAGGCAGAGCTTCCCTTTCCTCCTTCTGCCCCATTTCTCCTTCCTCCTGACCTGGTGGTGCCCACAATAACCAGGAGGAGCCACTAGGCTTCCAAAGGGTAGTAGGAAAACTATCAATGAAAGGGGGATGCAGAAAGAGTCTGGATTTCATAGAACAGTGATAAAGCGGGAGCAACTGCAACCAGGAGTCCATGGCCAACATGTCTGCATCCGTTGTCCCATGGTTTTTGAATGGAATTTCTTTTTCTTTTTTTGTATTTAGTATAGGGTCTACAGGGTCTCAATACATAGATCGCATTTATAGTGATCTTCCTGCTTTCAGCCTCCCAAGTGCTGGGATTACAGGCGCGTGCCACCACGCCCAGTCTCAGTGGAGTCTCAGCATGCCCGGGGGGCGGGGCCAGCATGGCATGCAGGGGATTGAACCCCAGCTGCTGCTGTCTGCCTAAGCAGGTGCTTCTAGTCCACTGAGCTAGCTGGCCAGCCCTTGGTCCATGGTTTTTGATGTAGTACATTTTCTTTTTCAAATTTTAAATTTATTTATTTATTTATTTATTTATTTATTTATTTATTCGTACCAGGGATCAAGCTCAGGACCTTGTGCTTGTCAGGCAAGTGCTTAAGCCGCTGCGCTATCTCTCCGGCTTTACTCTATTTTCTTAATCTTGACTTTTCACACAGATACTCTTATCACAGCCGCTGTATCTTTGCAGTGCATCTCACAAGTCTTTATGGGCAAGTGGGTGGCCGGATGCATGTACACTGCTCTAAGAGCATGGGCGCGGCCTGTTCCTCCCTGAATATATTCCCAGGGTTTGGCCTGACTGGCTATGTGACCTATCCTTCTGAAAGGTGCTGTGGTATTTGACTTTGCTTTATGTGTGCTGGTTTGTGGAAATCCAAAGGGAAATGAAATATGCCGTCAAACGTACTCCAAGATTCTTAAGAGCAGCCTTAGAAATAGAGCTTCACTATAAGATAGCCCCACTTTCTCTGAATAATGAAAGGTATGGTAAATACTACTTACAAGACACTAAGCATGGATGGTATAATTAGTGCCTTTACTGCTAATGGTATATTTATTAGGAAGATAAGCAATAAAAAGAGGTTTTTTTTTTTTTTTCTAAGTGAGATTTCTGTGAACATCTTGCTGATTTACAAAAATACAGCTTTATGTAAATTTGACTAGGGGCTATTAAAGTTTCCTAAATGATCTACAGAAAAATAGAACATATATTTAATTTATAACAATTTGAAAATTCAGGAGAGACAAAATTTAGTTGAAACAATTATAGGATCTCACTTTTATGATTTTTAAAAGTGATATTTATGGATTGAAAAGTAAAAATTAGGGATGTGATTCTTTTGCTAGTTTGGGAAAATTACAGTTCTTAGACAAGGCACTGAAAATTAGCTCTTAGCTGATGCATATTCATTATGCTAGGGCTTTTAAAGATTTTGTCCCTTTTTTATGTCAGAAAAGGGAAGCCTATTTCTTTCAGAATTTTAGAAATAGCTTTAATAGCCTCGCTTCCAGCATAGAGATCTGTAAACTATAGCCTGGGGCCCAAGCTTTCAGACCACCCACTTTCCTCTGGTTGGATTTAAGAATGATTCTTACAATTTTAAAATGATAAGGGAAAAAATCCAAAGAAGAAGGATATTTCTTGACATGTGAAATTCACACATATCTCAAATTTCGGCTCCATCGGTGGGGCTCTGTTGGAGCACAGCCACGCCTATTTCGCATTCTGTCTGTGGCTGTGATGGCACAGTTGAGTGGTCTCTAGAAAGACCCTGTGTCCCCAGAGCTAAGAGAATCACACAATCTGACCTTCTACAGACGAATCACCAATCTCCGCTGTAGGAGCTGCAACTCCCCTCATGCCCCTCTGTGTGTTCCTGGGGTGCAGGATGGGACACATACCTGGCTGAGATGGTGCAAGTGTCTGGCGAGGTATGCGACACAGCAGCGGCAGCATCTGAATGCACCCCTGGAGCACGCGCCGTGCTGCTGGGACCAGGTCCAGATCGCAGGAGCAGCGTGAAAAGCAACAGAAAGGAAGTGAGCAGACCACGTCCGAGCACACCCACTGTGTTTCCACTACAGACTTCCACACCTGGGAAAACCAGAGTGGCTCTCCCTCAGCGCGGGAGAAGTTCTGTTTTGTGCCCACTGCTGATTGCTATGGTCCTGAGGAGCTTGGCTCTTCTTGTAGGTCTACCTGGGAAGGCAGCTGGTAATCTCAGCAGTGGGGGAAATGGGTTAATCCATTTTCAATAGCAGAGGATGAGGGGCCTTCTGGTTCTAGTAAAAAGGGTCTCTCTTCCTCTTTCATCTATCCTCAAAGTGTTTCAAGTGGTACATTTTGCCTTTTGGAACCCAAAATTTGTGTTCAGAAAATGTTCTCATCCCAAAGACAAACAACAACAACCTAACGAGAAGAAGTAACACATTGTAGATACTACTCCTGTGCCTGCACGAATAATTAAGTTTAACTTTAGGGCAAATAAATCCTATTGTGAGACTTTTCGGGCTAAATTTCAAGGGATAAATCAGTCTTTTGAACTATAACTTGGAAATGTGCTCTCAAGAATGAATGAATAATTGAATGAAGTGCCTGGGGGAGGGGTGATTGACTTTGTCCAGAGTTAATAGAAGAAACCTCCGCGAGCAACCCCGAAATAGCCTACTCTGAGGACCCCAGAATAACACAGCCTTATATGGGCTTTTTCTTGTCCCAGTGTTAATTCAATTGGGTGAAACTTGATCTGGATACTGTTCAGCCTGGCAGCAGCTGTGAATGAGCCTATTGGAAAGATCACAGAGAGGCCCTGCAAAACATTTTCGCGGCCGACACAGACGAGCTGTAAGGCTGCTGCTGGGAAAGACTTCTTTTTTAAGCTAAAAAAGGACATATTTCTCCAATGGTGACATTACTAAAATGAAGTTTGATCCTTTGGTCCTTAGGGATCAAGGAAGTGATAAGTAACCTCTTAAACCTCAGCCTGGGATTCTTTGGGTCTTCCTCTGACTCAGCTGTTCGGTTGATAGAAAGCTGGAAGAGTTTAAGATGCTTCTGAAAGAAGGACAGCAAGCTCCCAGCTGTTCTCTTATTTATGATTATCTGTTACTGATGCATGTATTTATATGGATACATCTACATAAAATTTATGTATATATTAATAGGATATATAAATACACATTCATGTATATGTATAAAATGCACAAATATCCAAAAAGCTTTTTATTTTGTATTTAGTACAGGGTCTACATGGTCTCACTACACAGATCAGACTCAGAGTGATTCCTCTGTTTTCAGCCTCCCAAGCATTGGGATTACAGGCTCATGCCACCACGCCCAGTCTCAATCACCAACTCAACTCACCCAGAGTGGGGTTGGGAGGCAACACAGCACGCAGGAGATCAAACCCTGACTTCTGTGCTCTTCCTAAGCAGGAACTTTAGTCTGCTGAGCTATCTGGCCCGCCCTAAAAAGCTTTTTTTTTTTTTTTTTTTTAAAAAGAAACATTTCCTTGGGGCTGGGGAGATGGCTCAGTAGGATAAGCGCTTGACTGGCAAACATAAGGATCTGAGTTCAATCCCTGGTTCTGCCAAAAAAAAAAAAAAAGAAAAAGAAAAAAAAATTCCTCAGTTTCCTAAGATTGATAGAGCAATGTCAAAATGCAAGAGCTAGAAATAGCTAGATTTGTTCTGAATGTGAGAATGCTTCTTTAGGTCACCAGAACTTGGCCCGGTAAGAGTTTAATAGAAATACAAGAAGACAGCCTACAATTAGGGACAGCTACTTAGCATGCATTTCAAGATAGAGATGTCAGATCATTTTATATGAAATTCAATCCATTGTTCCTAATTGATATACTAAACTTAAATCTTGATTACAATTTAAAAATATCAACAACTCAGATTTCTTTTTCAAAGAACAAACAAAAATAAATTTCAACTGCAATATGAACCCATGTGTAAAATGTCCCCACCTCACTAAGAACATAGAAACCGTCCTGAAAAAGTGGCATCAGGAAGGTGTGTGAAACGCTGATGATGTCATGAACCCTGAGGGGGGATGAGGAGAGATTAACATTGTGTGAGAACCGAGAAGTTGGGCAAGGTCCAAGCTTGCCTTGTTCGGCAGGCCAGAAATACCATGAGAACAGCTGTCTTCCTGGTATTCTGGTTTCCACTGGCATTCATAACCAAATGTGCGTGGAAAGGAAGACAGGGAGGAGAAAGCCCCCCGCACCAAGGCCCTGCAGTTTCTGGTCTTTTGAGCTGATGTGTAGGTCACTCTCATGCCTGTGTACACACGGGCACACATGCACGCATGCACGTACTCGCGTGTGCATGCACACACGCTCGTTCCAACACTCTCCCTCTCGCCCTCACTTCCTCCTCCCGTGGCACGCTCCAGGAGAAACAATGGGCAGGGAACACATTTGCCACTGGAACAGAAAACGTGCTATATCTTACAATGCATTTTCTCAGTTAAAAAAAGCATGATGTGTATCTATGGAAACCTGTGGCAGTAGCGGCCTAGCCTCGAAGGAACACAGGACACGTTCCTGCGCTGGGGCCCAGGCAGCTTGCCAGGACTTAACTTCTTTGGGCTAGGTTGGTGTCTTACCTTGTCTTGCAGTGTGTCATGGATGTACATGAGAATGACTCTGGGAATCCTCACCAAAGTGATAAAAAATGACCCTTTCGCCACTGTTCCTTGATGGTAACAGAGAAGAATGGAGAGAGAGGAAAGGATCGGATGGTCAGAGGGCTCATTTTTATTTCTGGAAATAGGAAAGGAGAATATATTAAAGCCAGTACTTAAAAACCAATTTTAAAAAATTCTCTGGTTCAATTTATCAGTGGCACTAATGTCTTGTAAAACAGTGATACAATGAGCACTCAGCAAAAATTTTATATATCTTGTAGCTGAGGTTATACTGTATCTTGTCATAATTTCATTCCTTTTGGTGTCATGCAATGTAGAACTGAGAAGACTGAATACTGGCAAGTTCAAATGAAGACGTTTCCCTCTTAGAGGACCTATTCCTTTCACTTGCCCTTCAACTCAGTGCCTGTTAATCTCACTTTCCTTTTCAGAAGTTTAACTCCATCACAATCTCCCAGGTTTACACAGGAGCATATGTAAATACTGCTGGCATTAACCTGGTGAAAGAAATCACCCTCAGATCACACGACCAGCACCAGGGCCAGTGAGGTAACAGGGAAGGAACACAGAGCCCGGGGAGTTTGGCTTCTGCCCCGCTCTGAGCTCCTGAAATCCAGCTGATTTCTTCTCTCTTGAAAGGTCATTTCAGTGTGAATCATTTACAGGACTTGTCATGACACAGCTCCCAAGAATGTGTTCAAGTCAGTTTCACAGGCAGAGAAAAGAAGTAAAAAAGAAACAGAATTGGCTCAACCTTCCTCAGCCCCAAACCTGAAAGACGAAACAAAGGAGGAGGAGGAGGAGGACGGCGCGACCTCCTGGGTGCCCTTCTGGATTCTTGTAGATGCCACGGAAACGAGGCCCTTTCCGAGAAGCAACTTCACAGATTCCAAGTGCAGCTTGCTTTCTTCGGAACAGATTATTCCACAACTTGCCCGGGTTGCTAATAAGTCAGCATGAATTAAGGTTTTGACAACAGCCTTGGTTTTGAGGGAAGAAAAAGATCGCAGCCAGTAATGTCTCGAGAACTGGCAATGGCTGCATTTCACTGTTGCTTAAATCATCCAGGAAGCAAAAGGAACCCTGACAGCAGCACCAGGAATGGGGGACTGCAACCCGGCTGCCCACAGAAAGGCACACGGCCTGAGGCTACCTAAAATAGCTGTTGCTGATGGGAATTCATTCTGATCCAATAGACTAGAAGAGTAGTGTTGGCCAGGAAAATCTGACACATTTTTTCCCTTTACTCAATTTTTTTTTTAAAAGGAAGAATGTTTACTTTTCCAATGAAATTTACGTGTTTTAGAATTTATCACAGTGCTTAAGTAATGGGGATGCAGGGAAAAGAAGGCGACACCTGTGTCCCATCTGGTAGGGAAGCAAATGATTCACGCCCATGGGCATGGGAGCCTGAGGGTCGATCCGCCAGGGCCTGAAATGTGGGATTAAGTGCACACTGAGGTTTCTTCTGTGGGGAGACCTGGTTTAGGCACAGGGAGTTCCTGCCCTCCCTTGATTTTCCAGGTCCGCACACCTATCTTGATAACCCCGGGCTTCACAGGGCTTGGCTCAGCAACGTACAGCAGCTCCAGCCTCTGAGTTATCGCATGAGGAGAGACGGAACTTGAAGAGAAGGCCCTTTCAGCCCAAGCCAGCTCGCAGCGCCAGGAGTCACTCAATACCTACCTTCAAAACTAAAAACAGCTCTGCAGAAAAAAGGCTCAGTCTTTGAGGCTACCTCCTGCTTCTTTCAGACTTCTGCTAAGTTCAAAAGGCAACAGCATCATGTCATCCTTCCCCTGGGCAGATGCAGCTCATGCAGTCAGCGCTGCCTCTTTCACAACCATGCAAGCCAGGCGTTAGGAAGAGGATCGCCCCCAGTGAAGCTTCAGTGATAATGCCAGGCACCTGGACCACGCACATGTCTAATCTCAACACTGCGGATGGCTAAGGCAGGAGGACTGTGAGTTTGAGCTGAGTCTGGCAACTTCCTAACTTAGCAAGATCCTATTGTAAAATTAAAAATAATAATAATAAAAGAGCTGGGGATATAGCTCACTGTGAAGCGCTTGTATAATCCCTAGGCTCAGGAACATACACGCACACGCACACACACCCCAAAACATAGCTCTGCATGTGACTGTATTTTGGGAACTGGCGTTGTAGTGTTGGGCTCACTGGGCAGTCGAGCGAGGAGGCTGTCGCAGGAGGGGAGGACAGATTCTCCGCCTCAGGCATGCTCAGCTGTCTCCAGGGTCATGCCCTGCTGACTGGCCAAGCTCTTCCCAATCCCCTTAGTGGCAAGGTGGGCACCAGTAGCATGAGAGGGCAAGCTGACTCCAGGATGAGCCCCAAAAACCTCAGTTGTCCTCTTCTTTTAAACCCATGACTGCCTGAGTGCTCATGGTGCCCAACCCCATGCAGTTCAGCCAGGTTCCTCAGAGCACCACAGCAATCTATGCTGCTGGGCAAGGGTGGATTGGTCCCACTCACCCAAGTTCTGAAGAGATTAGCTTTTTTTTTTTTTTTTGTACCAGGAATCAAACTCAGAACCTTGAGCCTGCCAGGCAGACACTTATGCCACTGAGCTATCTCCCCAGCTCATCTAGGTTGTATAGCACTTTTGGGTCACGGTACCTCAGTAATGTACAAACTTCCAGATTCACCAGATAACCCAGAGCATAGAGCCAAGTGAGCGACTTCAAGGTCCTAGTAGCAAGCTGTAGCTCTAGGGAGAGCCAGGGTAGCTCACTAAAAACTATGAAGTGGTGTGGGAAACTGCTTTTGTGCTGAGGCTCTCGAACAAAGCCTGGCTGCGCAGGACAGCTGGCCTCCAGTGAAAGCTGGAATGCAGTGAAGGAGGCCCAGAGACCTCGCAAAGACCACGTTCCTTCCTGACCTATCTTTCAGTGAAACTGCTGCAAGATGGGATTGAGAGGGCTGAGAGGAGGCGGTAAAGTTCATTTTTCCAGACCTACAGAAAGTGGAATTTGTTCTTTACTATAAGAACAGCGTCTTTTTTAGCTGTCCTGGTTAACTAGTTAGGGGCAGAAAATCCATCCATCTCTCCTTAAATTCCTTATGTTGTTATGAATCCATTTCCCCATGGCGTCCCCAGCAGATCTGGAACAGCTGGAAACCATCTTTCGTACATTTGAAGATGGCGATGATACCATGTCTCCTCCAGCATGCCTTCCTCACAGGCTCAGTTCTAGCTCCTTCCTACCACAGCCCCGAACACTGTCTTCATGGCTCTCTGCTGACCCCTCTTCAAGCAGATGTTTGTAAACAGCTCCTTGCACAGGCTGCCCAAAGCCTGAAGCCTGATCAGCATCTAAGGCTTTGGCCCTCTCAGGGCTTAGATGGATGACAAAGTTGGAGGGACCCTGGCAACGGTTAATCCTTACCCTCTGTGCTGGCCAGACAGAGTACACAAGAATTGTGCACTCTGAGAGAAGGAAGAGGTTTCAAACTGAGACAGATGGCCCAGAGTCGAGAGCAACACCTTAATAAACATAAATCCTCACTCATGTCATTTCAAATTATTTTTAATCAAAATAATAGGTGAAGTATCTCAAAAATTCAATTTCCATTGCTTTTTTTTTTTTTTTAATGTATTTGGTACAGGGTTTCACTACACAGCTCAGACTCAAAGTGATCCTCTTGTTTTCAGCCTTTCTAGTACTTGGCTTATAGGTGCCACCACACCCAGACTCGGGTGCGGGCTCAGTACACCCAGGGTGGGGCCACTGCAGCCTGTGGTGCCGGGGATCGAATCCCAGTCCCCTCGCTTGCCTAAGCAGGGGCTTAGTCCACTGAGCTATCTTGCCAGGCTTCCACTGGTAGTTTTGATCAGAAAAAAAGAGAGGTTGTTTTCTTCCCCATCCCTAAGGACAAAAGTGTGCCTGTTTCTGTGGAACTCATCAGCCACACTTAAAAATTACATGTTCTTTCTATTATTTCTTGATTTCTTTTGTCTTTTTCTGCAGTGCTGGGATTGAACCCAGGGCCTTCTGCATGCCAGCAAACCACTGTACACCGAGTTCCACGCCCTGACTCCTCTTGAATTTTCAGCTCTCGATACTGTCTATTGACTTTTCATTATGGAAGACTCAGGTTTTAGTTTCTCTTTCAGCCTAAATAACCCACCTCCGTATGCTCACTTTTCATCTCCACCTCTTTCCCAATCTGATTATACTGACTTCTAATGTAACACTTAGCATTTACATTATTAGTGCATAGATAACACAGCGAACACCGACGACAGCCACATCAAGTGGCACATTTCTTTACCTGTGCATTTTTGGTTTCTCCAAGAGTTAGGGACTGTGTCACTTTTTTTTTTTTTTTTTTTTTTTGAATAAGGCATACGAGATGTTGCGGCGTGACTGGAGTTCAGACGTGTGCTCTTCCGATCTCCTGTCTTTGTAATTCAAAACAGGTTTAAGGTTTTTTTTTTTTTTTTTTTTTTTAACCCATTTCCTTTCTACAGGCTTTAACTAAATGCTTCACCAAAGAGCAAATCTAAGCCCATCTTCTCTTCTCTGTCTGTTTCTCCTTCTTGAAGCCAGCTTCTCTGGAGTCTACGCCTGCCTGCTGCATCCTGGCCGGGACATTTGGCTTCTGCAGCGCGGCGTACCTTCCCAGGAACGCCTTTTTCTTCTCTGAACTGCAGCTCATTTTCCGAAACTCATGCTTCCTCCCTGTCTTTATTCTCCTTTCTTGCTGACTGGTAGCAGGAACAGGTACAGAATTCCAGTTTGGGAGCCCTCTCGCCCCGCTTCGACAGCCCAGCTCCGCTGAGCTCCTGGCTCCGAGCTGCTGTGGAAAGTCGCGCCCAGCCTGGCCTTCATCCTCTGTCTGTGAACTTTGATCTTTTGTTCACTTGAGGAGACCTTCTGGGACCTTCTCTTTCCTCACATCCTTAATCCTGGGAATTTTTCTTTGATGATGTCTTTAAAAAACTTTTTGTCTCTATTTCTGGAACTCATAGAGTCAGATATCAGTCTCCTAAATATCTCTGACATTTTGTCCTGTCCTTTCACTCCTCATCTCCATCTCTGTGTCTTTTGTTCTATCTCTCCAAGAACCTTGAACTTTATATTCTAATAATTCAATAGAAATACTTCACTTTTGTATTTTATTTTATTTCATTTATTTATTTATTTATTTTTGGCGGAACTGGGGATTGAACTCAGATCCTTGAACTTGCCAGGGAGGTGCTTACTCCACTGAGCCATCTCCCCAGCCCTAGAAATACTTCACTTTTGCAGTTTATTTATTCATTTATCCTTTGATGCTGTGAATCGAACTCACAACCTTGTGCTTGTCAGACAGGTGCTGCGCTGCTTGACTATATCCCTGGCCTGCAATGTTTATTTATTAAAAGATCTTTTATGTTTTCTCATGATTCATTATTTTTTTGGGGGAGTCTTAATTAATGGGTATAATATATTTTGTTCTTTCTGACAATAATATAGGTTAATTCAAATGCTGGAGTGACTCTGTGTGAGGGGCGTGGCTTGCTGCCCGTGTGTCGCCATTTGTTAGCAGTCAGAGAATTCGTTTCTCTGGGCCCAGATGGCCCCACCTCCAGGTCTTTACTTGAGGTAGAAAGAATTCCCTTACCTCCTCGTGGGGAATCACCCTGGCTCCAGGCATCTGGGGAGCTGAGCTGTGGATGCTGGGGGCTGGATACGCTGGGTCCTCACCCTCCAGAATTTAGACTTCCGCTTCCTCTCCCTATTTGGGTCCAGAGCCTCCCCAGTTTCAGCCATACCAGACATCCCAAGTCCAGACACCCCAAGTTCTTACTGGTTTATCTCCTACAGCCAGTCCCTGGAATTGTACTTTGCACTTGAATTCCTGAGCCTCTCTTCAGCCTGCATCTTTTTAGAGCTTCCTTTATCAGCCAACAACAGGCTTAGCCCTGCGGCTCCTTCCTATGCGGTGGCCAGTCCCCTGTCTCTCTCTCTCTCTCTTTTTTTTTTTTTTTTGTACCAGGGATTGAACTCAGGACCTTGTGCTTGCCAAGCAGGCACTTAAGCCACTGAGCTATCTTCTCAGCCCCTCCTTTTTTCATTTCTTTGTGATTTTATTTGGGAGGGGATAAGGTTGAAGAGAGGGGAGAGATTAAGAGATAATTGTGTTTGCCTCTCAGGACTCCAATTCAGAGCCCTCATTGAAAATGCAAGAGCCTGAGTTTAATCCCCAGTTCCGCCAAAAAAATAAATAAATAGAAAATAAAAATTAAAAAAAAAGCTTAGGCTTTGTTGTTCTAAGATAACACAAAATGACTTTGTCAGATGAAAGTTACCTGCTGGCCAGTTTGGCTAGAATGATCTTTGCTCTCCTACATAGGCACAAGCAACACACAGCCCCCACCCACCTCCTGCCTCTGGGAGGTTCTCAAGGCCAGGAGCAACAGCCCCTCTCCGGGTGCCCCAGTATCCCTAATGATGGGCCTCCTCAACAGCACCGCTATTAAAAACCCACAGTGCTCTGTACTGTGAGAAGGGAGCTGCTCAGGCGGCATGAATCATCCCCATTGACTTTCCTACCGCAGGGAAACTCGGGCTGATCTCCTCTTTTGGTCAGGGAAACTGGAGGAGGATCAGCCCTAAAGGGAGTAAACTTCCTGCTTGGGTCCAGCTCTGTCCCTGTCCCTGGGATCTGCTCTTCTGGCTGCAGTTTCACAGTCCTGTGCAGGTCACACACAAGCAAGGCAAAGGATTCAGGTGAGTGTGGGGTGTGCTTGTGCAGCCCAGGTTGTTTTCATAAGGTCCTGGGTTCTAAACAGAAAAGCAAGCAACTCACTATTGCTAACTGTGGACATGAGCCATAGTTTATAGTTACACATAATTTCTTTAGGACTTAAAATTATTTTCCAAGCAAACATTGCCCTGATTTTACATAAAGAAAGGCAGGGCTCTCAGCCTTATTGAATTGTACTCAAAAGACATCAGTAGTTTTTAAAGTCTCAAGTAAATGAGAAGAGATATTTACAGAGAATTCAATTCTTTCTTTTAGGAATTTTTCAGTTCTGAGCATCTGATCATTTTGCTGCTTGGTTTCTTTTGAAATTTTCCAGGTGAACACAAAGGAATCTGGAAATACGACAGGTTTAAGGCATAACATTTGGTTCATCACCAGCTGAGTATCTAGCCCTACTTTTAGTCTTTTATCCTCATTAACTAAATTTAAAGATCAGATCCAAACTCCTGAATGTTTTTTGAGATGCATGACATGAGGCTGGCAGACTACGGGGGAAGGCTGCACCTACCTGTTGAAATACCAGCTCACCACTGCCCCCGCGACAGTCATTTGCTGGCAGGCAAGGATGAATTCGCTTGTCCAGATGAGCCCAATTAAATGGTACCACCACATATACCGAATGCCCAAAAGAGGGGAAAAGTCCACTTGGCCCCCTTCAATAACCTGGGCGCTGCCTAAAATTGGAAACACAAGCAAACCTCACGTTACTGATTTTCTAAACAGGGCAGGTGGTTCTGCAGGCCACATTTCTTCATGCCTGGTCTTCAGCAATACACGAAACACAAATGCCAGTGTGAAGTTGGAAGCACCCAACATAGCTGAACATCTCCATAGCAAATCCTAAACATTGAGAATGAACCTTAATTACTCTTGAATATAATTACAGTTACATCAGGAAGCAATTTTCAAGGCACTTGACAAGTACTCTAATACTCATTTCACCTTACAGATATGAAAATCAACATTTGAAAGAGTCCGGTGACATCAGTAGAATTCCATGACACATTAGTGGGAGGGCATGCTAGACTCCAAAGCCCAAGGTTTCCTAGCACTCCACCCTGCCACAAGACAAATGTGTTACACTGATGAAACCACTGAGCCATTAGGACAATGAGAAAGAACACGACTCCAGCAAACTTCGAAGGAGCACCTTGTACTCAAAGGAATCTGGTTCCCTTCAAGAAAAGTGCTCCTAGCGCCTTTCCAGTGTCGACTGCTCCGAGTTCCAGTCTCAGCTTTGGTCTTCTGGGTATGCTGGGATGTGTCACCTGGCTCCCTGGTGCATGTTTTCTGTGTGTCTCTGTTTCCTGGTGCAGTCGAGAATGGAGATGACCTACGCAGTGATTGGTGTAGGGCATGGGCCTAAAGAGGTATCACGGTCTACGGGATAATGCGCACTATGATTATTATTAAGAATTTTTTTTTTTTTGTATTTAGTACAGGGTATACAGGGTCTCACTACATAGATCAGACTCTTAGTGATCTGCCCATGTTCAGCCTCCTACAAACTGGGATTATGGGCATGTGCCACCATGACCAGTCTAGATTGCTGTCTCAGTGCCCCCTGGGGGCAGGCCTGGTACAGCACACCAGGGATCAAACCCTGGCCGCTGCATCTGCCTACGCAGGCACTTTAATCCGCTGAGTTATCTGGCTGGCCCTATTATTAATAATTCTTAGGGGCACAGTGTTGCTTTAAGTTGAGGCTAGCAAGAAAGCACAGCAATGTTTTGCCATTCAGGTGTCTACATCTTGCTCTCCTTCCCCTCCTGGGAAGAAGATCTTGGACTAGTTCTGCAGCTTTGTAGCCATGTGGTTTCTAGAGACCTTCCTGACAGGTTACAGCCCAAGTACAGGCTGCTGAGTTATCATGGTCCTGGCCGACATGGCTGAATCCCCAAAACAGTGCCTTACCTTCCCAATGACCACTTCCTCCCTCTTCCCCACTCCAGCCCGGGATAAACTTCCTTTGACCTTTTCCACGCACACATGGGAGCCTCCCAGCAGCTCCCTACATGTTGCTGAACCTGCCCCGCAACTCTGCCCCTAGCAAAAAACTCCATAAAGTCTCGGGCTCCCTGTCTCCCGTCAGAGGATCCACCCAGCTCCCTGCCCTTGGTCCTCTCCATGTCTTCAGTGTTAATAAAGATTTCCCCTCCCCCTATTTCTGTTCCCTGTTGCTGCCAACGCTGCCATTGCTGCTACAGCTAAAACCCATCACCTCCCACTTTGTATTCCAAATAAACTACTGTAAGGAAAGGGCCTTTGGTGAAACCTACAATTTAGACATGATTTAAAAGACAGGCTATTTAGATGCCAATAGAATATTTACCTCTGACAGGACAAAA